ATTAGAGAACAGGGTAGAGCATGACAGCTGGGTCAGAAAGGATTTTGCCCATAAAGCTCATCCCACAGGCTCACCCCCTCCCCGCCTCCCGGCACATCCCCAGCGCTTACGGGTAACAGGGTCTTGTCCTTGTACGGGAACCAGAATCTTCCGCTCGTTGCGGATGTTGTCCTGCACCCCCGGCCTCCCTCTCTGGTACCTCATCACCCGCCGCAGCAGGTAGTCCTGTGGCAGGAGAAAAGCACAAACCAGCTGAGTCCCGGGCAGGCAGGGCTCACACCGGCCCCTCAGGGACACCATCTACGGCAGCGGCATCCACCCTGCCGTGCTTTCAAGGGCACGATTCCCTCGCTCATCTTGAGGTTGAAGGGGCTCCAGCCCAGCGCAGCCCTCCCTTTAACCCGGGGTCCCCACCGGGGACCCTGGATGTGCCAGCGCCTCTGCCAGGGAAGCGATAATGGCGCTGGAGAGGGGGCTGCAAGCGCCCCACACGCAGCAGGGCACTACCGGAGTCCCTCCTCTGCTTGGCCCAGCTCTGCCGCATCCCTGCAGGGATGAGACTCATCCTCCTGTTCCTCCGGCTCTGCCGGGAGCTGCAGGAAAATGTGGGGAGCAGAGGGGGGACCTCAGCTCAGCCCCGCAAACACAGGAACCATCCCGGCAACTCACCACCACGCTGCAGGACTTCCTGCTCAGGTCTCTCCCTTCCCCTGGAAGATGAAAACAGTGCTGTGATCCCTCTTTCTCCATGGCAAATCCCTCTTCCCACCCAACCCAAACCCACGCAGAGTCCCCTGGTCTCGGCAAGCGCTCCAGGGGTCCACGGCGCTCACCTGGGCAATGGCAGCAGCCACATATACAGAGGCAGATGAGCACAAGCAGGACCACAACCAGCACCGCCACCACGATGGTCACGATCAAGTTGTCTAAAGCGGATGAAACAGGGCGCGTGAGTGGAGCAGCTCGCACCTCCATCCCTCCATCCCCCCTCCTCCAGCAGCCCCCCAACTTACCGGAGGAGCCGGAGAAGGTGCCGGTGGGAGGACCGCACTGGCGGTCGCTGTGGGGCGTGCAGGGAGCCAGCTCCACTTCACCCTTGGGACACCTAGGAAAGGGGGAGACGGGGCAGGACTCA